TTTACAAACTATTTAAGTAAGCAGAGTGCCTTAACAAGCCATAATTCCTGTATTTGTCACTAGAGGCTCAACTAGGAAACGGAAAAACTATTTTCATAATAAGAAAGAAAATACTTACTTTTGCAGAGAAAAGAAATCGAAGAAAATCCCCAAAATTAATAGCAATAATGAGGGAAAGAGAGCATGTACCAATGGAAAAAAAAAGAGTGTATTTAAATAGAAAGTCTCGCTATTTTTAAGAGTCCCTTGAGAAGTGATTACCTACATTGACCTGTGTGTCTAAATCTATTGACAAAGATAAGCAGGGACAGCCAGTAGTCACTTCAGATTCAGTTCTAATAGTTTGAATTAGATGGACCAAACAAGCTGGAATTATCCATTAAATCAGCAAAATCTGCTTGTCTTTTGCTTTAATGCTTGATTAATGCTGACAAGCAAAGGCTGTAAAGCTGCCCCTTTCTCTGGCCATGCAGCAGGCTGAGTGTCCACTGCACAGGGACCCCGTGCCAACCCCATCTGTGAGGAATTGGGGTGGGATTTCAGTCCCACGGGGTTTGTCTCGGAGCAGAGGCCGCCTTGGGAGCACTGGTGCGTGAGGGTTTGCAGGATCACCCTTTCTGCAGTAAGAGTAAAAACTCTGGTGAATGTAAAATACTGTTTTACCAAATGTTTGAGGAGTGCCCTTTGTGATTCTGACTCAGGTTGTTCTGTTTTTCCACCTAAATTTTTTTGTAGAAACACCAGAGGCCTCCAGAGAAGTAGAGCACCAATGAGGATTTCAGAGAGCTGTTGATTTAGAGTGTCCAGACACTTGGTCATGAGAAATAAAAGGCAGATCCACAGTCTTAGAAGTTAAAGAGCAGCCATGGAGTTAAATGCAGTTGGCAGCTGGTCACTGGTGGTGTCCCCAGGGCTCAGTGTCGGGGACCCCCTGTTTAACATCTCTGTGATGAGTGAGGAGATGGAGAGCACCCTCGGTCAGTTCACAGGTGACACTGAGTTGGGTGGGAGTGTTGGGTGGGAAGGCTCTGCAGAGGGATCTGGACAGGTTGGATCCATGGGCCGAGGCCGATGGGATGAGGTTCAATGAGGCCAAGTGCCGGGTCCTGCCCTCGGGCCTCAACAACGCCCTGCAGCTCCGGGATGGGGCAGAGGGGCTGGAAAAGGACCCCAGGGTGCTGGTGACAGCAACTGAACGTGAGCCCTGCTGTGCCCAGGTGGGCAAGGAGGCCAATGGCACCTGGCATGGACCAGCCACAGTGTGACCACAGGCCCGGTGACCGTCCCCCTGTGCTGGCACTGCTGAGACCCCTCCAGTCCTTGGTTTAGCTTTGGGGCCCTCGTGACAAGAAGGAAATTAAGGGGCTGGAGCTTGTCCAGAGAAGGGAACAGAGCTGGGGAAGGGGCTGGAGCAGCAGGAGGGGCTGAGGGAGCTGGGGGGGCTCAGCCTGGAGAAAAGGAGGCTCAGGGGGGACCTTCTGGCTCTGCAACTCCCTGACAGGAGGGGGGAGCCGGGGGAAGTCGGGCTCTGCTCCCAGGGAACAAGGGACAGGAGGAGGAGAAATGGCCTCAAGCTGTGCCAGGGGAGGTCCAGGTTGGGCATGAGGAAGAATTTCTTCCCTGAAAGGGTTGTCCAGCCCTGGCACAGCTGCCCAGGGCAGTGGTGGAGTCCCCATCCCTGGAGGGATTTAAAAGACATAGAGATGTGGCCCTTGGGGACATGGGTTAGTGGTGGCCTTGGCAGTGCTGGGGGAACAGTTGGACTCTGTGATCCTGGAGGTCTTTTCCAACCTAAACTACTCCACAATTCTATGATTTCCAAAGAATTTGGTCCATTCCCAGGAAAATCCATCACAATTCTCTGATGAGAGGAAATGGCCTCCAGCTGGACCAGGACAGATTCAGGTTGGATGTTAGGGAACATTCCTGCACAAATAGGGTTGTCAAGCAGTGGCAGAGGCTGCCCAGGGCAGTGGTGGGATCCCTGGAGGGATTTTAAAATCCTGTGGATTTGATGCTCAGAGACAACGTTTAGAGGTGACCTTTGCAAGCAAGGGAGAGGTGGGCAAAGGGAAGGGAGGTGAGGGGTAGGAAAGGGAAGGGTAGGAAAGGCAAGGCCAGGGAGGGGTAGGCAAGGCCTTGCTTTGCCTTATTGTGTAAATGGTTGGACTTGATGACCTGAAGGGCCTTTTCCACCCCAACATTCTGTTATTCTGTAAGTTCTTACAACTCCCTGTATCATCTGTTCACACACACACAACACCTCTTCTGCCAGAACCAGCAGTAGAGCTCAAGCATGAAATAAAAACACTGGGCCTGAGAGGGAATTTGAGTCAGACAAAAATTGCACACAAGTGGTGACAGAGTGGAAACCTTTCAGAAACAGCCCTCTAACACTGACTTTAAATGCTTTGAAGCGGAGGGTTCAGATTTGCCTGAGTGTTTGCAGTTTGGCTTTGCATTTTTCAAAGCCTCTTTTCCTCTGTGACGCCCCTTGCTCTGCATTAAGCTTGTTTCTGCCTGCCCTGGGCCATAAATGATTCGAATTGTAAGAACTTGGGTTTTCTTGAATGGCCACTCCATCCTTCTGCTGTTCACTTTGATCACAGTGTTTAACCTGCTCTTCCTGGTGGTACACTGGGCACACTGAAGTGGGTGGAACCTGTTCTTCCTCTAAATGTGTGCTGCTCATTTGGAAAAGAAACAGGATGCCAGTCCCAGTGCTGGGTGAACGATGGTTCTGTGTCTCTGTTTCCAAACTCAAACAATGAGAACTGTGGTGACATTTTCATTCTAAACCTCTCTTGGATGTACTGCTGGGGCTGTTTGATGATGAAATGGTTGCTGCTGTTGATAAAAGGTCCCTCTCATTTCCCACCCATGTGCATGCTAAGGAGCAGCTGACGGGATCCAGCTGCAGATTTGGTGACAGGAGAAGAGGAAACGGCCTCAAGCTGCACCAGGGGAGGTTCAGGTGGGGCATCAGGAAGGATTTCTTCCTGGGAAGGGGCTGCTAAACGTTGGATGGAGCTGCCCAGGGAGGTGGTGGAGTCCCCACCCCTGGAGGTGTCCAAGGAAGGACTGGCTGTGGCACTCTGGGCTGGGGGACAAGGTGGGGATTGCTCAAAGGGTGGGCTCGATGATCCTGGAGGTCTTTTTGAACTGCAATGATTCTGTGATTCTCTGACCAGGGAACACACTCCATTCTCATACAGCAAAATATTCCAGAAGACCTTTTCTGAAAAGTCTGGCCTTTGTCCCTGCAGGAAGAAGTCTAAGTTGGTAGTAAGGATTATCTGTTTGATCAAATTATTTTTACAACCGATTTTTAAGACAATTTTTTATGTTTTCTGTGTTGGGGGGTAGAGCACAATTACAAAAATCACAGAACCATTAAGTTTGGAAATGATGGTCCAGGATCATCGACTTCCTCATGTTCCCCATCCCCACCCTGTCCCCCAGCCCAGAGCACTGAGTGCCACGTCCAGTCCTTCCTGGGACACCTCCAGGGATGGGGATCCAAACCTCCCTGGGCAGCTCCATCCAATGCTTGACTACAATTCCAGAGAGGAAATTCTTTCTGAACTGCAGTCTCATGGAACTTCAGTTCTGAAGTCAGGGAAGAAAGGTGAACCATTTCCTTATGGATCCAGCATTTCACTTCTGGTACTTTAAGTCAGCTGCAGGGGTGTGGTCAGTGGTGTGGATGGTGGTAGGGACTGTGCTGTGGATGTGGCAGTAGTGGAAATGGGTTTTGGTGTAACTGAGATAGGAAAAAATAATCAAAAACTTGTTTTAAACCATGTAAATATTTCCAGTCATATTACAAGCAAGAAGAACTAAGTGGAGGATGTGTCTGTCCAAGGCAGTATTATTTTATTTATATATTTATATATTTATATATTTATACATTTATACATTTATATATTTAATAAATATATATTTATTATTAATAAATATATAGTAACATGATTAATTTATAGTTAGTTAATTTATAGTTAATTGTAAATTAATTTGTTTCTAATTAATCAATATATAATTATTTATATATTTTTATATTTACTTATATATTTATTTATAATATTTCTCTATCAGAGGGCTGAAAGTGGAGTCAGCAGACAGGCAAATTTGGGTTTTCATATTCTGCCTGTGCCAGGGCAGCCTTTGGCAGCCATGCAAGTCTTCCCCAGAAGAAGAACCACCCCCACAGCAGCCCTTGGGTCAGGACATCACCAACTTAGTCAAGAGAACTGCATCTAAATAAATGTATTAAAAAATAAAATCCCCACATCTGGCTTTGAGTGAGTACTTCCCATTCTCTGCAAACACACATGGACAGGGAGAGAAGCTGAAAGGAGGGGGGGGAAAGTTGTATTTTTGTATTTTGCAGCAGGAGGTCACATATGCCCTGGCCAGATCCTGCTCCCAGGTTGAGGGAGCAACACACCTGGTCTGGGATATTGGAGACCTTCAAATACTTTTCCACATCAGAAACAAACTTCTTCTTGGCTAGTTTGGCTTAAAACGATGGGAGAAGTTTCACAGCAAAGAGTGATTGAAATATTTTTCTGTGGGAACATCATAAAAACTGACTGGGCAGAAGATTTCATTGCTGGGCTGCTCTGGACAGAAGTTGTCTTCCAGTTCAAAAGAAAAGCATGTCTTTTATGGGGATTTGAAATTGGAAATACGAAAACAGAAGTGTTGAAAAGGATGTGTCTCTCCTCTTAAAAAAAAATCAAGATAAAAATTGAATAAAAACAAAGCAAAAAAATATTTTCAAACAGGAAAAAGTGTCTTTTAGAAAATGCCAGAACTGAATGCTGTGAATAATTTAAATGAATAATTCAACACTGAGATTTAAAAGTATCTCAGTGTTGCCAGATACACACTCTGCCCCAAAAACCGCATGAAAAATTCGAATCCCTCTAGTAAAATACTTAAGTACTGAGATTTTAACTACAACACTGGTGTCTGATTTGGGATCCAAACCCAGGTACCCAACTCTGCTGGGCCCAAAACCCACCTGGCCCCTCTGTGGCTCTGGGATGGGGACAGAGGCAGCAGAAGCTCCATGGGCACAACTGAAATAACTCAAATATATTTTTGAGGCCGTTTGGTAGCAGGCTTCAAATCCTGGGATTGTCCAAAGGACTCAGGAATGTAACAAGAAGCAGAGTTTAGGTGCAAAACTAACGTGTGATTTTTGGTTTTCTTTGGAATTTTCACACATTTCCACCCTTGAAGCTGGGTTTGGTTTAGGGAAGGCAGCCCAGAAGGTCTGAAGTGCTGTCAGAGACACCAGAATGAGCCTGGAGGAGCCAGAGTGGGCTTGGAGAGTTATGGAACATTTCCTGGAAAACAATGGTGAGGGGGGATGTGTGAATCACAGAGCAAAGAAGAAAGGAAGCCATAATTAAATCTTCTAAAATACAACACCCAAATTACAGTGGACTAAAAAATGAGCAAATGACACACAGTGAGGAGGCAGTTATCAGATGGATTCTGAGCTGATTATCATAATGTAAATGCCAGCAGCAATTTCCTCAAATCAGAGGGGTTTATTTGCAGAGTGGAACCTATGTTTAGTCCTAATCAAAATAAAATCAATGTATATTTCAAAACAGATTAGTGCTGGGAAACAAAGCAGCCATGATTGTTATTCATTATCTTCATCAGCACCAAGAGGGAATAATTTATGTTACTACTTAATGACAGATGTTAACAATTAATTAAGTCAACGTGGTTATAGGCAGTGATTTGGGAAATGGAGAGGGGATTGTCCTCCCTCGATGTGTTTTTGTTTCTCAGCCAGCTCCAAACACGGTGCTGGTGACCCTCTGGCCTGGGGACAGCTCAGGGAAGCAGAGGCACAGGCAGGTTGTTGGAGTTGTGCTTCCCAATCCCCGCTTCCCAGATGTTCTCCCTGCTTTTGGGGAGTCCCCACGGTCCAAGCCCTGCTGTCAGATGTTCAGGCTCCTTTGGCTGAGCGAGCTGTGGTTGCATCTGTGCTCTTCCCAGGAACTCATCACAGATTCTGGACTCAAAATCTCCTTTAAGCGAGCAGGAAGAGCTGGAAATGGCTGGGTTGGGATCCAAAGGATCCATGGCACCCCCAGGACAGCAGGACACCTGCAGCCACCACAAGTGCAGTGCTGCTCTGGGTTCACTCAGAGCTCCAGCTCCATAAACAGCCAGGGGGTGCCAGGGGGAATGGGGAGCAATGGAGCACTGGAGAAGGACTTTTTTTCCTGCAGGAACATCACCTCTCCTTGCCCCAGGAGCTGCTCAGCTCTGAGAGGCTGGGTCAGAGGCTCATCTAGGCCTGTCTCTTCAGCCTTGAGCACCCAAAAGGTGAAGACCTTTCTGGTCCTCTGGTCTGATTCAAGTCTGAAGAAAGACTTTGTGTTCTTGGAGCACAAGGGGGTTGAACAAGTGTTTGGTCATTCAGTCCAAATGTCAGCCTGATCCTGAATCCCACTTCCTTTTAGGTGTCTCCCACAGTAGAAGGCTGTCCCTGACATCCAAGAAGCCAGAGGTGACCAGCCCAAACTTCTCCCCTTCACGTGAAACAGCCCCTGAACTCCCCAGAGTGGTTCAAGCTGCAGAGAACAGGCAGCCCAGGAATTTTAGCTCTGTTGGCCCTTCCAGAGGCACAAATCATGCTCCTGGGATTTTGGTAAGTGATTTAAACGCCCACATTGCCTCAAGATCCTCTTCACCTCTCGACTGCAAAATTGGTGGCCTGTCCCTGCACACCAGGAGCTCTGGGTTCAATGGGTCTTCAGTCCTGGGTTTATTGCCAAAGACTCTTAGGAACCCTTTTTAACAGCACTTCCCTTGCACTCTGCTCAAGGAAAAGTGGGCTATTTATATTCAATTGTACCTTATAAATATTTCTACCAGAACAATTGCTCTTGATTATAGTGGACTTTGTTTTCCTTTGAATTTAATAGCAAGAGAAAAATGGCATATGACACAAATTTAAATAACATTCTGCTTCCCTCCTTTCTCTTTTCTTTCTGTACCATGATCCACAGTTGATATTGAAGAATGATATTGTTTCAAAAATATCTTGAATTATCTTGTTTCTTTTTTTTATTATTTTTTTTGAATGGAGAAAAAAGTGCATTAATGAGTTTGATTTTCCATAGTGCTGAGCACCTGAGTTTTTCCTTGGGTTTTTCAGATACCTGACAGCTCAAAAAGTTAGGCCCAACTTATTTGTAGGATAAGTTTGACTTTCAAGGATAGGAAAGTGGTTGGCAAATATACTTTAGAGATTTTATTTGATAAACTGTATCCAAGATGTAATAATGGTTTTCTGTATATTTTTCTCAACTAATTTGTTGAGGGAGGTTATTTAGGAGGGTGGGCCTTGTAGGCTCACTGGAGGTGTAATGGAGTCCAGTTTTGATTGTAATGAATTTAACAGCTAAAGAGAAGGGTGGTGATGCAAATGTTGGGCATGAGCCCTACTAGTCTCTCCTTACATAATATTTTTGCCATTAATTTACTGAGAACAAAACCAGGCTGCTCTGAGCATAATTGAAGAGCACTTTTTCAGCCAGCTAATGTATTTTATCCCTACAGACATCATGCAAATGTGTTTTCTGGATGTGAGATGGACACAACTATCCCCTCCTGCTACATCTCCCTCCTGTACAACAGAGGAGTCCCACCTAAACATGTTTTGGCAAGACTTTAACACCTCTCTGGAGGCGCCTGACTGAACCTAATACTGCCACAGATAATATTCAGTGTCCTACAGGTGAAACACGTTCATGTTTTCCTGCAATGTGCTGCTCACCCCCAGGTTTTTGTGGCTTTCTGCCTGCTTTCATTTGTGTGCTCACAGTCTGCACAGGGTTTAATCTGTGTGGAGGGATAATTGTTTCTGTTCTGCAGTGAGGAGGGCTCAGCCCCAGCACCTGTAAGTGTTCAGCACGTGATGCACATTTGTTGGGCTCTGCCTGTAATTCCTCCTTTATCAATAAACATCCCTCACTTGTTACATCACTGGATTCCCACTCAGACAAAGGTGGATCCCAGCTCCAGCCTCCCAGCTGAAGCCACCTGAGGACCCAGCAGTGCTCCTGTGCCTGAGCCCTCAGGACCCACAAACACACTCGAAACAGTGCAAGATTTGCTTCAGTGCCTCTCTGTTTCCTGAGCTCTCTGCTCCTCTCCCAGGTGCTTTGCTAATTGCTGCTGCCAATTTGTGCTCCATCTGCAGCCCGTGTCCCAAAGCCCAGGAGCTCTGGCTTTCAGCAAAGAGCACTGTTGTGTACAAATGTTCAGCCTGGGCTGTGTCATTAATGGCTTAAGTTACCCGGAGAAAAGTTGTGGCTTTGGTCTGGTGCTCTCACAGCTAAAATCTTTCTCCTCCCTGCCCTGGGGCTTATGTAATCTTCCAGTTTCCTCTTTTCTGGCCTTTCAGGATCTGACAAAATCCTTTAACTGTCAGGCAGTGCTGATTTCCCAAAAGCAAGAGGCAGAGGATGCAGATTCCCAATGAGCAGCTGTACAGGAGGTGGATGAGCCACCCTGTTCTCACTGCTCAATCCATCAGGCTCCTGCTGTTTTATTTCTCCCCCAGCTGCCCATGCTGCCTTTGAACAGGGCCTTCTTGCTGCCCAGGAAATCCAAAATACCTCCTCTTTCCTGATATCTTCCTCCTCCCTCTCCTTCTGTGCCACATCCTTTTCCTCCCCAGTGCTCCTGATCTGAAGGATGACCAGCAGCACCTTGACAGTCCCTGCTCCAATATCCCAAAAACCCATGGGATGTGCTACAGGTGCCTCTCCCAACCACCTGCTCACCAGCTTTCCTTGCTCTTTTCTCTCTCTTCACACCACCAAAGAGCAGGCAGCATCCTCCAGGTTCCCTGGAAAAAGATGGAAGTTGGACAGGGATAAACAGCAGGGAGATCTCAGACAGCTCAAGCCAGAATCAGAGCAGGAACAGAGAAGCCTGATGGCCACAGGAACATGCTTTTTCTGTCCAAACCTCTGGGATCACCCAGAGGTGTCTGTGGGGCCTCCTTCCACCACGGGCAGTGCCTGTGTCCTGTGCACTCACAGCTCCACCTTCAACTTTGGGAACATTTCGGGTTTGTGTTGTCCTGCTTATACAATTTGGGCTGCCATGGTCAGAATTCAGCACCATCTCCCAAAATGTTCTTAAGGAAAGCAGGTGATGAAGGGAGCAGGGCAGGCAGGGAAAGGGCTGCTGAGAGTCTCCCTCGGGTACTTGTTTCCCAAGCTTGCAAAGCAGGGTGAGAAATGGATGTTGCTTTGCTCCCAAACCTGTCCAGGGCTGTAAGACAAGCCCAGGGGCTGAGCAGAGATGGAAACAAACAGCTGTGATGAGCAGGGCTGAAGGATTCTGTCCCTGAAGTGACAGAAAAGTGACACAAAAACATTTGGTTTGAGGGGAACATGTTTTACCTGTCTGGAGACAGATGGATGCAGCCCATCAATGGAATCCCTTCTCACTTGCTGCACCAGCCCCCCAGGAGCTTCCCAGGAGGAGAAGATGCACATTTTTGGCCCTGCAAGATGGACTGACCTGCAGAAAGCTCTGAAGAAGGAGGCACCAGGCTCCAAAACACCCCATGTCCCAGGGGCTAGGCTGTCTTTTCCCCACATTTCTGATCAGCAGGTCACTGTGTCCTCTCCTCTGGCAGCCTCGGAGGCAGATCTTTCTCAGCTCATGAATCTCGTGCTGGATTTGTGGTTTTGTGCTCAGGAACCTTTGTGTGACTCGAAGCACATCTTGTGGCAAGGACTTGTCTCCTGCTGGGAATGCCCTGTCTGGGAGCTGCTGGGTCATCACTGAGTGCTCTCAGGAAGGCTCAGGAGCAGACACCACTCTAGGGGAGGACTGTTCTCTAAGCTAAGGCTTTCCAGGCTGGGAAACAAAGGAACCAGGCTTTGTCCTGCCCTCTCTGCTCAGCTAGAACCCTTGGAGAGACTCTTATCATCCAGAGCCCTTGTACCGTCCAAAGATGTGTCTCGTCCCACCAGTTCCTTTCCAGTGCTACCCAGCTGCTGATGGGAATACCAGCTTTCCCTCAGCCAGGCCATTCCTGGGACATAATCCTGTGTGACAGGGGATGCAGGGAGCCAGGGTCTGGGTCCCTTTTGGGATGAGGATGGCCTGACTCCTTGATAAAGGTGCACATGGGACTGCTCCTGGACCAGTCACTGCTCAGTCCCACAAAGCACTAACAGCTCAGGGCCATCCCTGGGCAGCAGAGAAAGGACTGGAGAAGCCCCAAAAGTGTGTGTTTGTCAGCTATTTTAACCACTCAGTCATTCAGTGGGCAGTGCTGAGCAGGCAGGAGTTCTGTTTGGTCTATTTAATTTCATTTTTTCCCCTTGTTTGTACACCATATTTTGCATCTCTACTTTGAATAGCTGTGGAGGCACGAGGAGGTTTGCTTTTCAAACCTCCCTCCCAGAGCTGAACCCTTCACTTCCATCACCCAGAGCCCAGAAGTCCTGCTGACAGCAAAGACAACACCAGATCATGGAATCACAGAATGGCTTGGGTTGGAAGGGGACTTAAATATCACCTGGTTCCAACCCTCCTGCCCTGGGCACATGGAGGGAGATGGACACAGCCAAGGATTCTGCAGCAGGGACATGAAGCTACTCTGGACTTCTCAGGTCCCTTCCATAGTCTGGAGGACAGTTTGCAAAAGAGGGCACTTCCTGGGGCTGGTCCTGAGCAGGGCTAAGGGTTGGGCTCAGTGATCCCTGGGGGTCCCTTCCACCTCAGCAGTTTCTGTGACTCTGTGATATGACCAACACTCCCCCTCCCAAACTCCCTGTTCTTCCCAACACCCCCCCAGACACATTCCTGCTCTTCTCCCAGCCTTTGCTTCCCCTCTTCCTTAGGCACAGGGAATCATTAAGGTTTGAAAAGGCCTCTCAGATCCAGTGCAGCCATTAACCCAGCACTGCTGTGTTCACCACCACGGATGTTTCTGTGCTCTAGGAAGGCTCTTCTCACTCCTCCTCACTGTCTGGGCAGCAGCAGGGGAGCTCTGGCAGCACAGGAGGAGGCCTGCCAGGGATGTACTCTGAGCAAGGAACATTTCTCAAAAGGCATTCCCTGTAAAAAAAAACCAATCCCAAACACATTGTCCCATAACTGCACGTGTTGGGGAGAACAGAGAACGGCTGCAATTTTGAGCCATGGCTTTCACTCCTTCAAATTAAAACAATCCAACTGATGAAAATTCTAAGCAAGGGTGACACTGGGTGTCTCAGTACATCCCCAGGCTCATGGGTGACAGGTCAGGGGACACCCAGGAGGAGTTTCTCGGGCTGCCTGTGCAGGGTTAACCCCATCTGGCTACAGATGAAGGGCAAAGTCAAACCCAGCAGGGTGTATCTGTAGACAAAGCTCTTTTCTTCTGCACTGAGGCTGTGACAGTAGCTAGAAATCAGTGTTTAAAAACACCACCATCCAGAAGGTGTGAGATTGAGATTTTTAGGGGCACAGCCATGTTAGGTGGAGAGGAGGCACATCTGTGTGTCCTGAGCTCTGCACTTGTCTCCTGCTGCTCCACTGAGCTGGGAGAGCTCCATTGATTTTCTACAGTGAACTCAATTGCTGAGACATTCCTGCAGTTCAGAGGATGAAAAACAGAGCAGGCAGTTCCTGCAGTGCCAGGCTGGCTGGCAGAGGTCCTGCCCTTGGACACGGTGCAGATGAGTGTTTAACAGCTCTGCTGATGTCTCACTCTGGAGCAGAACCCACGGAGCACAAACGGACCCCACGGGATACCTGCAAGTGCTGGAACACAGAGATGGGTGCTGGCAGCCAAATGGGCAGGGAACACACCCCTGTAACCTGCCTGAGGCTTTGCTCTCTCTGTCACACAACATGCTAGAGCTGAATGTCACTGCTGTGTCCCTGGGAGGGGACATCTGAGTGGCCTCTCTCCCACTGCAGCACACACACCCCCTCTGAGGTTTGTTTTTCCTTCCCACTTGTCTCCTTCCCTTTTAGCTTGACTTGGTTTAATCCTGCTGTCTGGCTCCCTGGTAAATCTCACCAGATGTGATGCAAACTTTGAGGAAATCCTTCCTTGGCAGAGCATCTTCCATCATGACTCTCCTCCCAGGGAGGCTTTCAGAAGGAGATGGAGTCTGGTGCCTCCAAACTGCTGCTGGGATGTGGAGTGTGCTGGTCATCTCACTGGCTCCTCATCCTTCCCTCCCTTCATCCCTGCCTCCTTCTGCAGCACTTTGCTCTGTCTGGCTGCCAAAGGAGGAAATCAGACTTGGGAAAATTCAGAGCTACTGTCTGTATTTAGTCTGGAGTCTCAGCTCCTGGCTCTGCTGGGACAGAGTGTAAAGCCAGGCTTCAGTAGGGTGGTCACTGGCTATCCCTGCACGAATTTATTGGTACTGTGTGACACTTTGTGCTCTTCCCTACTGCTTGTTTCAGCCTTTTAAATTATTCTGGAAGCAGGACACATTTTGTAGCAAAATCCTAATGGGTTCATCCCTTCTCCCCCCATTTTACCATCTCCTCATGAAGGTTTATAATTACAGAAGGGAGTTTGGCAAGTCAGACTCTGTGTAAATTTAACCTCCC